AGAGAGAGAGTCGGGTTGAACCCACGCACCTGCTGAAACCAAGATTCAGTATTCACTCCTGTTCTTCACACACACACCACATGCCAGAGAGATGGCATATGGGTGTGCACAGGGCTACGTATAAATAAGAAAACAAGCACTGAAGATACCATCATCCAACACCCTGAATGTGAGAGTCCACTGGTTCTGGGACCCTCCAGCCATGATCAAATGTATGTCACGTTTGTGCCAGTATGTCCTACGTGGGTTTGTACTCATCAACATGCCTGCATCTCTGGGTTTATAATTCAATTTGTGTATCTGTCCGTCCGTGTTTGCATCTCCAGCAGAGTGGCTGAGGAACAGGTATGTCCTGCTTGTTACTAACTCAGAGACAGCCCGTTTCTTTTGCTTTGGTACTAGGAAAAGGCCCAGGGCCCAGCGTCCTCTCCAAGGAAGCTAGAGCCCCTGCTGTAGTTAAAAGGGAGGGTTCACTGATGTACTTTCAGGGAGGACTCACTGCTGTGCTCCCTGTGAGCTGTTAGTCTTGGAGCACAACAGGCTCCACCCTAGTCTTCAGGATCCTCATCATTTTCTTATCATGTACCACTCAACTTCATTCCTTCTGCCCAAAGGTGGAAGCCATAGAAAGAACCCCAGCCAAGACATAAAGTGAAGGGACATTTAGTTATAGTTCTGTTAACAGCTGGACGTGTGGCTTTGTATAGTTCAGTCTGCTGTTTGTCGTGATTCCTCATGAGCTGTCCAGTTCTCCTTGTCCAGAATGACACCAAATGGCAATCGACTGACTGTATAACTCTCCTGATACACACCGTTTCCTGTCATCTCCTTGGCAACCCCCACGGGTGCATGTTACTGCCCCAGCTGACAAGAGTGTGGACAGAAGTGTAAAGACTGGACTCAGCCTGCCAGGCTGCCCTGCTGGGAGGCCCCTCCTCACCCTTTCCCGCTGACAGGGCCATTTATCAAAGAGGAAAATGTCAAGAAACAAAGAGGCGAAGCTATAAGCCTACCAGGTTAGTGAGCAACAATGCATGGGACTCTGAAATCAAGGACTTCGTTAGGTCAGGCAAATCCTACACTCAAAGAGCAATGGAGGATTGAGACATCCCAGAGTGGGATTCAAAGAGGCTAGATCAGGTAAGAGAAGCCTGAAAAGATTTAGGGACCAGAGCTCTGAGACCTCTGTCCTACAACACAAGGAAGCTGATGTGTATGTGTTCATAAGAACGGTGCTCGATGCCAAGATGGACAGCCTGTGTTTGAACTGCAGAACCCAGATGGTGAAGGAGAGAACCAACTTCTGCCGGGTGTCCTTGGATTTCTACATACACATATGCACATACACACACACACACACACACACACACACACACACACACACGCACATACACATACACATGTAAACACATGTACACACATGCAAACACACGTGTACACATATACACATGCATATACACACATGTACACATACGCACATATGGGCATGCGTGCGTGGACACACATGCACGAATGCTCGAGGATGTGCATGAGTAAGAGCCTGTAAGGCCATTGTTTGGGAGGAGAGAAAAGAAGAAAGGTACTGAGTTATTTAGGTGGAACCTGAGAGAGAAGAGCTGTCTAGGCAATGCAGAGTGAAGATATTTGACTCCTAAATCCAGTGTTTGAGTTCTATAAATCCTAGATATAACTGGGAAGAAGGAAACTCAGTTGAGGAATTGCCACCATCTGATTGGCCTGTGGGGCGTTTTCTTGATAGCTGATTGATGTGGGAAGGCCCAGCCCACTGTGAGTTGCTGCTGCCACTGGGAAAGAGGTCCTGATGCTATACAAGAAAGCAAGCTGAGAAGCCACGGGGAGCGAGCCAGTAGGAGTGCTCCTCCGTGACCTCCAGGCTGCTTTTGGTCAGTGTGTTTTCACAGCTGCTGGAAGCTCACCACAACACCGGGTTATACACAGGAGCATGGGTAAAGGGTTCCTCACACCACAGCAGCTTGCAGCACCAAAAAGCCCACCTCAGTAGAGTGACAACTCACAGACAGCCACAACGGTGAAGAGTCCCCACTCCCAGACAAACTTCCCCCTCTAGGTACCCTAGAACCTGCCAATAACATGCATAGTGGGGTGACAGGAAGGAGTGGTGACAACCCACCCTCAGCCCCCTTTCCACAGGAAATGTAGCAGCCTCAATTCCATTACCAAAGACCTTTTTTTCCCTCCTCATCACCACAACTGTGAGCCAAGGTATTCTGTAAGTCACCATGGCAACTGCTTCATGATGGCGGATGCTTGGGAGGAAGCAGCCCTGCTGTAACAGCCAATCGCAAGGGGGCTCTGTTGAGATGAGAACCTGCTCGGCTAAGTCAGAATGACTCTGAGTGATGCATTTTCAGCGTCGAGTCTCTTCTGGGTGAAGCCTGAAGCTGCTGGCCAGTGTACTCTTGACTCTTCTGCAGGACCAGATCTGCCTGGAACGGCATCTGCAGGGGTTTGTTGAAATGACTGAGCAGGGCTCCAGGAGGAGCTGGGGAGGGTTTATGCACCAGGAAACACAGCCACAAGGACATGCAGCACACCAGGGATGCAAGGATGTGTGTGTTTGGATCCAATCCTACTCCCCGCCCTTCTGAAGCCAGCTATGAACGGCATGATGGAGCTGGTCTTCTGAAACTTCGTACTGTCCTTCGGGTCCAACAGGCCCTTTCTTGAGGGTGTTTCATTCTCCTGGACTCAAGGGACCTGCTAGAACACGGAGTTTCTGGCTAAGACCAGAAACTTCTTACAGACAGACAGACCTCCCTGGGTGCTGTGTGGGGAGTGGAAGGCAGGCCACATCCAGCCCCTCCTCACTACCACACCCCCAAACTGGGTACCTTTGGACAGTGGCCTGTGTATACATGCTGTCCCTACCTGTGTACCACACTGTCTGTTCAGGAAATGTAAAAAAAAAAAAAAAAAAAAAAAAAAAAAAAGGCTTGGTCTTGGCACAACATAAAGCCGTATCGGGTTCTTACCCCAGTGATGGCCTCTGAACCCTGATCTTTACGGCCTTGGGCTGCTGCTCCGGGGTCAGAGCTCAGTCAGCCGTCAGCAAGTTCGAAACCTCAGTGTATTCTTTCCTGTTTCATGCTCCTCACACACACCTGGCGCTACTTCGTCCTCTGTTGGGAGCCATCATTGTTACTTAGAACCTCTTGTAAATATTGCCAGCCTTTTTTAAAGAATAGTCCATCCCCTCCCCAGCTTCCTAATGAATAGAGCTTGGGCTCACAGAAATAGCCGATGGCAAAAAATGAAACATTGCACAATTACATTACTTAGCCCCTCCCTCTGCCACCCTGTCACCTTGCCAATACCTGTTGTCCAGTCACCTTCAGTGGCCTGGTTACTAGGCAACGACCTCTCCCTCATCGTCCTGCCTTCCTCTGGCCCATGCCCCTACCTCATTTCCCCCTATTTAAGCCTGTACGAAACTCTCATTAAACGCAGTTTGATCAGCCATGTTGTCTTGCTGTCTGCTTCTCTTGTCCCCTCATTCCAGGTTCCCGTGGGCTAGACCTTCGTTGTGCCCTGCTAGCAAGGGCAAATTGGTGCCCAACATGGGGCTCGAAGACCCTAAGGATCCTAGGAACACCACAGCATCGAGAGGCAGGCCCGTCCACACACTGAGCCACCTCGAGGGTAGAAATCACCAGCTCACAAGAGATCGCCACGGTTTGACCCGCATGTGAGTCAGATCGGGAGGGTTAATGCAGCGGCGCTTGGGTAAGCAGTACTATGGGACAGACATTTAGTAGACAGGATCTGTTTATTAATGGACTCAAGGAGTCCCGCAAGATACAAGAAACAAGGGTAAAAAGAAAGATTTAAAGAAGGTTCTTGGGTTATATTGGAGATGTTTGTCCCTGGAGGGGACCATAGATGAAAAGAGATAAAAAAACATAAAAATAAAAAGGTTGGCGACTGCCTTCAAGATTATTACAGGAATGTATATAACTAGAGATATGAGACAGAAACTTATTGGTCAGATGATCGTATGTTTACTTGTGTATATTTTAATAGCCAGGAGAGCTGAAATAGAGCAAAACTAAGTGCAGAAAATGTTAGAGTTTAAAGGTTTTAAAAGGATCTTTCCCTCTGGCAGATGCTCCTGCTGCAGCTGTATCAGAGCTGCTCCAGGACTTGGGGAAATGAAGGTTCAACCTTGCAGAAACTCTCTGCCCCTGAACCAGTTAGCAGTGTGATAGAGACCTCCGCACCTACTGAGGAGCCCTTAAATAAAGAAGAGCATACAGATCAGAGAGCTTGGGATGAGTATAAAGAGAGAGTTACTAAGTATCAGGATGGAGAGTCTCCACTTCCTTGGCTGCCGCCCAGCCAAGTATATAGAAAATACTATTAATACAGCCAGTCAGAAACTGTTTTAAGACCTTATAAAGAAAGACAACATAGATAAATTTGGATTTGTTCAGATTTTGGATGCTCATAATTCAAGGATTGGCTATCGCTGCTGTGTTGCAAGAGACTTCAATTAAGGATGTTTCATTTCAACTAACTAATCATAACCTAGGCAAAAGGAGAGATGAGAGACATGTGTACGTTATGTGTCTATGGTGTGGCCACACCGGTATGTATGGAATGTGATTGTGAATGTATGAATGTTGACAAAAGGAACTGCTCGAATTGCCTTGGATATGATTAAAAGGATACTTAAATTACTTCAGATATAGTTAAAAAGCTACCTAGATTGCTTTGGATATAGCTAAGAGGAGCATCCAGCCAGTTAACGTCTTAACAGGAAAGGTTGGCAATTTGAGCCTTCAGAACCAGTTGGTGAAAAAATAGCAGAAGCCTACAACATGGCCTAGGAGCCAAGAACATCTTGTATGGATGATTCTATAGAGTTTAGCAGAGGAGAGGATATAGAGATCCTCCTAAATTTTGTGTGTGGCTTGAACTACATTTTTTGGAAGGCTTGAGATGAGCCATCTTTAGTCCCCACATCTTAGAGACCACTAGAGGCCACAGACTTGCCCCCTAAGAGTGCAATAAACTCCTGAAATGGCAACGTTACTCCTCATCTTCCACAAAAACACCTAGACTCAGAGATGGGCAGGGTCCTCTGCCCACCCCGAATGTTCTGTTAGTCGAGTTTTGATATTTTGCATGCTGTTAGAATACATGTAGCTTTCTGTAAACAGCTGGGGTTTATTATCCAATGTGTTGTTCCTTCAAGTGATAACTCTAGAAACTCATTCCCTTGTCTTTGGGAGTAATGACCCAATTAACAGGACACCAGACAGAAACCACAGCCTTAATTTCCAGACGTGGCAGTGTGGGGACCCAGACAGGATCATCCCAGCTGTGGAGAGAGGTAGTTCTGTCTGTTCCAGGCCGAATGGCTGCTTGAAGCATCATTAGGATTCAGGAGGCTCCACCCGCTCGGTCCTCTCTGAGCTATGAAGCTGCGAATAAATAAGTAAATAAGGCAGATGGCATCACATTCTGCCTGCAAGCGCTGAGCCAGGGAGATGAGTTACAACTGTCATTTCCAGTGGATGGGAGCCCCCAGGAAATACTCTCTGGGGACTGCATGAGTCTGACTCCCTGACAGGAACCAACTCTGAGCTCTGTTTGACCATGAAAACACTCAAGCAGGAAATGCTCCTCACATAAAGCTTCCCTTGCCGACAATCAACAGGATCTGTGTTAAACACCAAGGGCTGCCTGCCTGGGTGAAGACCCTGCTGAGCTGCGGCAAGGTCTAACACTGAGGCCCAGGGGGGCAGACAGCCCACATCCACATATTTAACAAGCTTTAGGGTTTGCTTTCTGCTCCTAAGCCGAGCTTATTTTCTTAGGCACCATGAGCTGCAGCCGTGCTACCAGAGCCCCTGAAGAGGAGCCCAGGAGCCATGTCCACATTGCTGTAGGGAAGAAACAAACAGACAGGCAGGCAGGAGGGACAAGCGAGGTAGGCAAGACAGTTGAGGTAGGCAGGGCAGGCATCACGCTCGGTGCAGGAAGGACGGGAAAGGAGGAAGGGTGAGCAGGCAGGGTACATGGGCAGCAGAGCAGGCAGGCCAAGCAGGCTAGACAGGATAGGCAGGGCTGGTTTCCTCTCTAGCACCCATGCAATGGTGTGCTTTATCGTTTTCAGGGGCTGCCAAGTTCACCCCACTTCCTTCCCCATCACTGGGCTCTCAGACTGAACGGGACTTGAAGACATAACGCCATGGGCTCCATGATGTCACTGTATAGCATCCTTGTTCAGAAGCCAGATATTTGCCCCCCCACACCTATACTTACATGTACACACTTGCACACACATGTACATATACACATGCATGCCCATACGTATGCGCACATGCACACCCATGCACACACACATACATGTACATACACACATACACACATGAATGCATTAGTGCTATCTTGTGGGCTGGGTTACCATGGGAGAAGTTTCCTGACAAAGACTGAGTTTGGCTCAGTGTTCTCTCTAGCAGGCTTGCTTGTCCTGTGGCATTCCCATGATGCACAGAGACCCTCACCAGATGCCAGCACCATCTTCTGGATTTCCCAGTCTGCAGAACTGTGAGAAATAAGTTTCTTCATAAATTACCCAATAGTAATCGTCAGTAGTAGTCTGTTATAATAACAAAATAAACCATGACTCTGAAGTTCTAGCAAGTGTGCAAAGGGGCCCCCAGCTCCCCTAGTCTCTGCAGAGATAGTAGCAATGAACCCTTCAACCTCTGAACTCAAGAAGGCGTTAGTGCAACCGGAGAGACCATGTTAGAACCCGGTTCTGACCTTGGTCTTGCATTGCTGAAAGCTGTTATTAGAAAACAGCTGTGGAAGTGCACACCTGGACTCCCAGGAGGCAGAAGTGGGGGGACCCTGAATTAGAGGCTAGTTAGGACTATATAATGAATTCAAGTCTAGCTTGGGCTACCCGAGATCTTTTCTCAAAATAAACAAATCAAGTGGTAAATGTTGTAAATTTTTGTTCTATTTTATTTCATTTTGATTGGAAGGCACGCTCCCCCCCCCATAGAGCCTCCAAAGATGCAAGAAAGTCCCAGAACAAGACTGGCTTTGCTAAGCCCAGCCCTCATGTGTAACTATCCCCCTCCTCCTCACAGATCAAGTGAGTGTGTATGGAAACACTTTGTAAACCAGAGGTGCTAAACAAATGCCAAAATCACAAAGAATCCACTCATCCTATGGAAACCCTTGAGAAGGAGTTGATGACAGCCAGGGACACCTGTTATTACCTTAGGCAGCTGCCTGGTAAGTCAAACAGCCCCTGGGGATTTACACCTTGCAGCAACACCTGAGACACAGCACACAGAAGGAGCCTCTTGTTAAGGACATGGGAGTGGGGAGGGCTTCTCCTGCCGTGAGAGTGAATGGGGGAGGACTCAGAAGTGGGCCCTCCCCTGTATTCCAGAACTTCTATAGATTAGTCTCGCACCTGACTCCCCACCAGGATTACCTTGGACTTGACAAAGTTTCACAGCAGTATCTAAAGCCCCTTATTTTAAACCTAGACTGTATTTGCGCTACCCGCAGCCATGAGCCTGCTCTGTCTTCATGGCGTGGCTGCCAGGAGCAGAGGACAAAATACCCGACATGCTGCCAAATACCATGATCAAAGACCGCATGGATCACTTGACTAGAGGGGACAACGTCCTGGGCTTGTCTATGGGCAGAGCACGGTTATGGGCTGAATCAGGGGACAGGTTGAGGAGTGGAACCTTTCGTCACCTTTGGGAGTAGAGGAGCAAAGTTTCAAGAGGGCCGAGAGAAGACAGCAGGGTTCATCTCCAGTAACTGTGTTCCCATGTTACCGTGAGGGTACTGTGAAAGCCTGGTACAGCCACAAGCCCCTTCGTCTTAGTTAGTGATTCTATGGCTGTGATGAAACACCGTGACCAAATGCAAGCTGGGGAGGAAAGGGTTAATTTGGCTCACACTCCAGCATTGCTGTTCATCACCAAAGGAAGTCAGGACAGGAAGTCAAACAAGGCAGGAGCATGGAGGTCAGAATTGATGCAGAGGTCATAGAGGATGCTGTTTGCTGACTTGCTCCCCATGGCTTGCTCAGCCTGCTTTCTTACAGCACCCAGGACCAGCAGCCCAGGGATGGCTCCACCCACCATGGTCTGAGCCCTCCCCCATCAATCACCAATAAGAGAAATGCCTGACAGCCAAATACTATGGAGGCATTTTCTCAACTGAGGCTCCCTCCTTTCAGATAACTCCAGTTTGTGTCAAGTTGACATAAAATTAGCCAGCACACCCTTGATCAGAAGAACACCTGGTACATTAGTGGTTTTTTTTCCCATGGTGCATTACCATGCTTGGATTGCTGAAGCAAAGTACCACAAACAAGGCAGCTTAGAGCCAGGGCCTTGGAGCTCTGTAAGGTAAAGCAAATAAACCCCTTTAGCCCTATAGGTGCCAACAATACATCCTTAACAGTGACAATTACGTACCCAGCGTCAAGGAGCCCAGGACGCTATCTGCCAGCCATAAGGTGTCCTGTCCGTAGACTCCAGCTCATTCCAGGGTTTCTATGATACACATATGACCAGCAGCAACCAAGGAGCCCCAGGCGTGCTGAGTTTTGTACAACCTGGCTTCCAACCCCTTGCTGTCTCCCCCAGTCACCCTCTCAGAAGAGAATCTGGACTCACAGTGCAAACAGGAGGCCCCGCTGGGGTCCAGGTCAAGACTGGATGTTGGTAGTTCCTACGCCAGACTGTCTTCTTCCGGACAGCTAGAAGCATACAATGGTGTTGAGGTTTCCATCGCCATCCAGTGAGGAGAGAATCCACAGAGAAGGTCAGGACAAGACTTAACTGCTGTGTGAGTTCCTGCCACGAGTATGGTTCATGCAGTGTGTTTGCACAGCTTTGCTGGCGTGGTGTGAACAAACACCTATTCGCACCGGATAAGGCATCCATGGACCGAAGAAGCATTCCAAGCGGTGTCTGGCTTGGTGAACCAATGAGTTCGTGAGAGTCGCTACCAAGGAACATAAGTGACTCAGACAGCTGTATCTCCAAAGCAGGGTTCCCTACCCCAGCTTGGGTGTGAATCAGCAAGGAGGCACACCATTCCACCCCACGTTGGAAAAAGAGAGCCAACCGGGACGGCCCCCACCGGCCTCCATTCTCAGATGAGTCTGCCTCAGTTACCTCAGAACCCACAGCAGAGGCCATTCTTCCCAAACCCACCTTTGGTTCTGTTGGGAGGAAATTGTGCTGCGTGCCTTTCCTGGGGGGAGATGTCAGAAGATTCATCACAGACAGGGCACTTGTGACAGAACAAAGAAATGATTATATTAGTTTGGAGAACCAGTGTGCCTATTGCTCTCACAAAAGCAGGGTCACTGGAGTTCCCTGCACAACTTGTAGGTAACTCCACCGAAGAGTTTTCTCCATCCTGGCGACTGTCTGCTGCTTGGATAGCCTTGGGGAGAGACCTTGTAAGACTTGAAATTTCTTGTAAGACTTTGTGCTTCCCCTGGGAGGGAATATTTCAGTTCAAAGGGAAGACCTACAGAGCAAACATGTTGATCTGAAGATACAAGACCACATCGTAGAGAACTACCAGTGACTGGGTTAACCCATGATGCTCCAGAGGTTGGTCCAGGGGATCCTGTAAGACGGGTCCATCCCTGTCCCAATCCAGGGTCTGCTTCAGAGGAAGCTTCCTGTTTGACAAGAGGAACAGGTGAGAGCCACCTGGATGCTGAGGAGGAGAGCAGAAGGGACGAGGCAGCGAGGGAACCAGGGAAAGTCCCCCAGAGCAGGAAGGAGATGCCTACCCCAGGAAGGAGAATCTCAATACACAGAGAAGGGAAATCATTTTCCACCCCATGGGTTTTTAACACTTTTCTTCCAGTACCCGCCCCCGCAGCCCCAACTTGAGTGTACTATACTGAGAAGTATTCTGAACAAAGTTAGGCTTTTCCTTGTCTAGACGTTGTCATTTACATGTAGAAAAAAAATCTGTGCGTTTCTTCCTTGGAAAACTTCCAAAACCCTCATTCAGTCAATAGCTATTTATCAAGCACCAACTATATATGAGGCGCCATTAGCAGTTCATGTTTGGACTCGATCCACGATCCTTTCGGGTAAGGCCCGGCGATACTGCATTTTCTTACAGGGAAGGGAACTGAGGACCAGGGAGAAGCTGAGCTGGGATTTGGGCCCAAGCAGCTTTCTCCAGAGTCAGGGTCACACTGTCACCTCGGTAGCTCCCTCTTTGGTAGAGCACTCACTGAAGAGAGCGTCCTAGCCTCTGTTTTGTTGTCTGTGAGCTGACGCAACACTTCCCCTGTCTGAGGCATTCTGTGCAACCACAGTTGGCTCCACGGCTCCAGCCTGTGGCCAGAGGGTCTGTTCCCAGAAGAGTGTGTGTGTGTGTGTGTGTGTGTGTGTGTGTGTGTGTGTGTTTTATCAGAAAAGAGAAAAAGAATAGAGCAAACCTGGGGGGGGTGCAGATAGGGAGCAAGCAGCAGGCCTCTGTTGCAAGCTACTTTGCTTCTCCTGTGGGACCTATAGGAACACAGGGTGAGGGAGCCAAATTAAACTCTACATTGGATATCTTTCGTATTGCCGTGACCAAATATTTGATGAACAAATAATGAGAGGAAAGGGACTGGGGACACGGCTCAGTGGGCAGAGTGCTTGTTGCACAATCAGGAGGACCTGAGTTCAGATACTTACCACTCCTGTAACAAGCTAGATGTGGCTGTGTGCACCTGTAATTCCGGTTCTGGGATGTGGAAACAGGAGGATCCCAGGAGCTTGCCTGGCCAGCCTGGCCAAGTTAGTGAGCTCCAGGTTTGGTAAGAGCTCCTGTCTCAAAAGCTAAGGTTCAGAGCAGTAGAGGACATCAACGTAGACCTCTGGCTTCTGCATATGCTTGGGTGGGTGCAAGAACCCACAAGCGTATATGGGGGAGGAGGGCCTACTTACTTCGGTTGATGATTTGAGAGAGTATATTCTGTGACAGCAGGAATGGCTTGGGGTTGTGACGACAGGAGCGTGAGATGGCTGACTTACATGACACTTCAACAGACCAGGAAACAGATGCATGGCAGCTGGACTAAGACCCCCAAGGCCCACGTCTAGTGACCTACGTCCTCTAGGGCAGTGGTTCCCAACCTTCCTGACTCTGCAGTCCTTTAACACAGTCCCTCAGATTGTGGTGACCTCCAACCATAAAATTATTTTCGTTGCCACTTCATGACTGTACTTTTGCTACTGTTATGAATCATAATATACATATCTGTGTTTTCAGATGGTCTTAGGTGACCCCCCCCACCCCAAAGGACCCACATGTTGAGAACCACTGCTAGCAGGTCCTACCTCCTGAAGGTTCTACAAATTTCAGAAACAGCACCACCAACCAGGTGTCCAGACACAGGAGCCTGTGAGGGATATTGCACATCCAAGCCATTATGCTTCCCAGGGCCACCCTCATCCCAACAGCCACATGGATGGTTCTCTTGATCTCCCATGACTTCTCCCCATGCCCCACTGGGTGCCTCTGTCCCCACCCTGTGCTAACAGACATTCAGCTTTGATGAGGAAGTCCTGTGTATATGTCAATAAAGCACTGTTGACCAATAGGGAAGCAAGATAGGTGGGACTAGGAGTCGAGGAGGACTCTGGAGAGGAGAAACACAGGGAGTCATCATGTAGCTGCCATAGGGGTAAGAAGTCTGGACCCTTTTCTCCGGTAAGAGAAATACTTAGATTAACAATTATGGAGTAAATACTTAATTCAGAGCTAGCCAGTAAGAAACAAGCAAGGCCAACAGCTTCATAATTAATACAGCGTCTTGTGTGTTATTTGGGGACTACAACGTGGCAGAGCTCAGGCTACTGGTGGGGAAAAACCAAAGCGGCTGGCAAGGAAAAGGCTTCTCTCAACACAGATTTTTTGTTTTGATCCTTTCATCCTCCTTCCACCTTACTTCAGGTCCTTGGCATTTCTCGCTGCATTTCTCTGGTACAGTTCTGCCAGATGGTTCCCAAGTTGGTGAATTTTCTCATTGATGTGGCAAGATACGTGACGAGAAGCAATTTAAGGAAGAAAGGGTTTGTTCTGATTCACTGTTCAAAGGGACACACTCCGTCATCGTGGGGGAGACATGGTGTGGAGCTGTGAGGCCATCCAGTTGAACTGTATTCAGTGGGGAGGCAGAGAGGGAACAAGGTGTAGGGCTGCTCAGAGACCCTCAGGCGGGCCAAATTAGAGAGCTCCAGGTTTAGTAAATCAAGGAATAAGGCACAGAGCGATGGAGAAGGACACTCACCATTTCCCTGTGTCCATGCACAGGTGCACTCTCCCACAGTCACACAGGCTTGAGTGCACACATGTGCACGTGAGCGCGCGCGCGCGCGCGCGCACACACACACACACACACCAGCGAAACAC